ACCTTAGCATTTATCGAATTATCGACAAGTATCTCATCATTATTGTTCTCATCTTCAATATCATCATCATCTAATGTTTGGAGAGGCAAATAAAATTTTGGTTTTCTGCTCTCTGAGAACCACTTGGTGTTGCTTTTTTGCTCATTTTTGAACGCCTCGGAGAGGCAAGAACATCGTCGTCGCAGCGTCTTTTAATTTTGTTGTAAATATTTTATTCTTGTAAATGTTAAAACAGAGCACAAAACAAGAGTAACTGCACTTTTGCTATTTGTTGTAGGACTCAGTAATGTAAGTATGATTTAAGAAAACACGTCTGTATAGTATAAGCGGCACAATACGACTGACATTTGGCTAAAAATTAAATGTATATCACGCGAATGTACTAACCGATTTGAACTAGACTTTTCACATATTAATATATTAATTAATTTTTTAAGCCAAAAATATTTGTAAAAAAAATCTAAGTTGGGTAATGAGGACCGGGACATTGAAAAAACCGGGCCGAAGGTGTCATAACTTCGTACTAGAACGGCACGAAAGTACAAAATATGGTAGAATTTGTATTTGGCCGGTTAGTGCGATTTAAAAGTTCTAACTCTACCGGCATATAAAAATGGTACCATATTTAGTACATTTCTTGCCGTTCTAGTACGAATTTATCTGATGGAGTGTAGGATATATGTACCAGAGGGATTTTGGAAATTCGAACTAAAAGTATATGAAAACTACTAAAATGTGCTAAATTTGTTACACTTTCGTAGCATGTGAACGGATAGAGTTAAAAACTTGAAATTTGGAATGAGAAGTAGGTTCGATATAAGGAGGTAGTTTTAAAAATGGGTACTTATGTATACAAAAAGTTTTAAACAGTACTAAATTTGGTACAATTTGGATATGGAGAAAGGGATGGAGCTAAAACCCTAAAATTTAAAATTAACATTACCTTCGGGTTGTAGGAGTAGGAAATACAGATAGTTTTCAACATTTGTTCTTATGTCTACGAAAGTACTAAATCGTACTAAATTTGGTAGAATTTGAATTTTTGGTAAACTGATAGAGTTGGAACCCTGAAATTTTGAGTTAGGATCATTGTTGGGGTGTAGGATTGGGATATACAGGAAGTAAGATTGGATATTTTCCAGGCGTAGGCAGAGAGTTAGACATTTCTCAATAAATCTAAAATTGGTTGACTCTATTCTGTTAGATGGGAGTTTGCTGCTTTGGGTGTAAAAGTCGCACTACTGTCGTTTACCAATGAGTTCGTGTCCGAGTCATATTTTGGGATTTATTAGTCTGGTGAGGTTTGAGATTGAGGGTGCCAAATCAGTGACACCAATATTAGATTTTATTGCAAAGTTTTTGGAATTTAAGCGTCATTGATTATGTGCTGGATATGGTGTTGACCAAGTACTAAAGACGCTCTCGGATCAACAAGGTTCCCTTCAAATACAGTCGGTATTGACAGTAACAGATTCAGTGTTCGCAAAAAAACGGTACACTATCGTAGTGTACCGTACCAGGAACACAAACACTAAAAAAATTTTAGCGTTAGTGTTCCGGTACACAAACATTAAAAAATATTTTAGTGTTACTGTTCCGGAGCACAACGAAATTCGTAGTGTACCGCTGTCGGAGCACTAAAAATCGTAGTGTACCGCGGTCGGAGCACTAAAAATCGTAGTGTACCGCGGTCGGAACACTAAAAAATCGTAGTGTACCGCGGTCGGAACACTAAAAAATTGTAGCGTACCGCGGTCGGAACACTAAAAATCGTAGTGTTCCATTTGGAGGAACACTAAAAATCGTAGTGATTCACTTGGCGGAACACTTAAAATTATAGTGTTCCATTTGTCGGAAAACAAAATGATGTATTTATCTTTTATTTTTGTATGAATAAAATTTATATTTTTATTGCTTTTCAATATATTTAATAAATACAATATCTTTTTATATTTGTTTATATTTTATTAAAAAATAGTAATATTATATTAACATCAACAGTTTAACGTAATAAATATTTTGTAACTAAAAAGGGCGTCTAGTGACGGCCAACTCATAACTGAAAATTCCATTGAATTGCATTTTGGGTTATAATCGATTGCGCTGATCGGAAATATGAAATTCGGTTTTTATATGGTACCTGTATGTGCTCTTGTAATATTTATCCCAAAATCATAAAACTACTTTTTTCATATCCGCGTAACTTGTACACTTCTTTTCATGAATAAGTAGGTAATAATTGTGTTGATTGTGTGCCAATCACCAAATTTTGAATAGTTTTGCTAAAATTTCCTAAAAGTATGAATCATAGATGCAGGTATAATTATTTTAAGAAAAAAATTTTCATACTAACAAGGAGATCTTCTAATTTTATGCGAAAAATCGTGTTCGTTCTGTAAATTAATGAAAATTTTATCCAAAGCTGTATAATTTTGTCACAAAAACTGGCCAAAATACCTACATTTTGTAATTGCAAATAAAGTTATATTCATTTTTATTTTTTTATTATTTTATCTCATTTTACCTCAAAAAAACAAAACAGACGTTTATGGTACACTACAGTACAGTTCAAGTAAGTGGAACGCTACGATTTGTATTGTTCCGACCAGTGGAACACTACGATTTTTAGTGTTCCGAACAGTGGTACACAACGATTTTTAATGTACCGCAGTCGGTACACTACGATTTTTTAGTGTACCACTGCCGGTACACTACGATTTTTAGTGTACCGCTGTCGGTACACTACGATTTTTTAGTGTACCGCAGTAGGTACGCTAAGATTTTCGTTGTGCTCCGGAACAGTAACGCTAAAAATATTTTTAGTGTTTGTGTACCGGTACAGTACATTATTTTAGTGTACCTATCCACCTTGGTACGGTACAGAACACTATGGAACGGTACCATAATGTTTATTTTCGAACGCTGGTTTTGATGCAATTTGTTGCAACAACTACAATAGATTACAAATAAAAGAACATTTTGTATGATGGCAAAAACACAAAGAATAATAGGAAGAAATCTGCGATTTAATTAATTAATTCACAGTTTATTATTTCACTACATAATTGTGTGCCTTTTTATTTAATTCCGATATTTTATTTCCCCAAATTCTTAAAGTGGCCTGTTATGCTATGATTTGCTTTTGAAAAAAACATTTTTTTTTTGTTCTTTCATAATTTTTATTTAAGTTTTTCACTGTTAAGCGGCTCATCAGGCAAATTTGGGTTTTCCATAATTTTTAAATTTTTTTTCTTGAGAGACAGATCCTCACCCAAAATGTCTGTATTTCGCCTCCACAAATCAAACTCGACTTAAATATTCCTTATTACCTTCATACATTTCTTTGCAATACTTGGTTCAGCATGCATCGTTATCAATGGGATTTCCAATGGCATTTTATTGGTTGTTTTCCAGTTAAAAATTTGCTTACTATCATTTATAATATTCTAAATCGTCATAGAATAAGTATTGTGTAAATATTTTTCATAAAAATAGTTATTACTTATGTTTTTGTGGTCAACTCCCTTTAAATTTATTAGCGAAAAATTTCGCACAAAATTTCATCTCATTCTCCTACTCCCTGTAATTCAGAATACCTAATTTTTCCCCAAAGCGGATTTTTTCGCTTTCGAACTTCATTCAGAATAAGGCGAAAGCGAGAATGCGAAAAAATCCACAGGAAAATGTTGTTTAGAATAAGGCGAAGGGAATGAGCGAGTAAATTCACATGGAATTGACATCCAGAATAAGGCTGATAGTGGACATCCTTGCAAACAACACAATTGCAACCGGCTGTGTCCAGATGATGAGCATCGATCACCTCTAAGAGGTGATCGATGCTAATATATTCAAATCCGAAGCTCAACGCAAATCAACCTCCATCGTTGATTATATCGAAATCTTGTGGTTGTTGTATTTTTGATAACAAATAAAACGATGGATCCACTCTGCTTATGCTTTTAAAGTCACGGTTATAGCTATGTTATCTATGTGGCACAATTCCTTCGGCTACCGTAATAAAATCCTACATCCGCTAATACACGTTAAAACTCAATGTAGGAATTTTGACATATTTCAGGCTCTCAATCGCGGGACTAAAAATTGGAAATCGATGCAATCTTGCTTGGGTTGGCTTTAAGTTGACTGATAAACCGATCGAGAAGTCCGTAAAACCAACTGCATCTGAAGTCTCAATAGCTTTACAGTGAGAAAACTGGCATTACATTTTAATTGAATCTGGAGGCAATGGTAACATTTAGCCTAACCTACCTATATTGATATTCTCCATTAAAGAAGACAAAACAAATAAAACCCAATCATTATTTGTTTGTAAAATATTATATATAATTAATATGTTCCATACAGTTAAAAAAATCAAATTTTAAATCAAAATCAAATTGTAATTATATACGATTTACCAAACAATATCAGAGACAAAATGTTTAAAGAAGGCGGCTGGGGTCTTGGGCGGTTGGGTCTATATTAGTAAAAAACAAACAAAAAAAGAAGAAGCAAAAAATTATAAAAATAATCGGGAGGTTTAGGCGGTTTTTAGCGTCAATGGGTTAGAACAAAAAATATTTATAAATGTAAAATATTTCTTTTTTGTTTTATTTAGGGAATTTCTTCCATCCTTCAATCTTTATAAAACACCAAAAAAGTTATTTATGTAGGTAGTATGTTCGCCAAATAAACATTTGTGTGTGTGTTTCTTCTTTGTTATTCTCATATGTAGAAAGTAAACGGCAGCGACATCGAGGGAATATCTAGATTTGTTTTTTTGTATTTTTTCTTTTTGTTCTTTTAACCCAATATATCTATTAAACACCATCATTAGCTAGTATTTCGTTTACGCATAAAAACAAAACAATTATTTGAATTTTAAAACATTTTGTGCTTAATAGAGATATTGAGTTAATTTGTAATTACAATTTAGCAGTTATTTGGGGATTGATTGATTGATTAATTAATTCGTTTGTTTCAACTGACAACGGCGACCACCACCACCGCTAGGCGTTAGTCCAGAGGCATATCATCGCGTTACCGGCGCATTTGAAAGCCAATGGTACCATCTGGCCCTTTGGGCAAACGTAATAAATGTTCATTTTGCTGTTGTCGCAACGACGCCGTCGAAGAAACACTTCCACCCACTACAGGTGACCAGGTTTGCTGTTGTTGCTGCTGCTGCTGTTTTTGCTGTTGTGATGACTTGTGATAATGCTGCTGTTGCATTTTTTGCATTTGCTGCTGCTGCTGATGATTCAACGTGGGCACCGTTGCTGTTTGTTGGTATTGTTGTGCTGCCGCCGGCTGTCCAATGGCACCCATGGGTCCATGCCCCAACAGTGGCATACTGTTAAATGTGCGATTATTATTGTTGTAGGCAGGTGATTGTGGTTGCTGATTACTATAATAAAAATTTTGTTGTTGATAATTCGGATGGTATTGTTGTGGTGGTGGTGGTTGCATTTGATATTGTTGTTGTTGCTGCTGCTGTTGAAGTTGCTGCTGATATTGATAGTGATTATTATAGGGCGGTGGGCCACCACCTTGAGTTTTGGGCGAATTCATTTTCGTTGGACCAACATTTAATGGTGTTGTTGGATACGATGGCGTTGTTGATGTTGTTGTAGATGCCGCCGTCGATGGTGTTGAAGGTGTAGAATTACTGGTAGACGTTGCCACAGTGGGAGATGATGCAGCTCTGCAAAGAAAACAATATAATAAACATTCAGCATAAAATTATATAGTCATATTTTCATAGCCTACACAACTATGTTGCCAGGGTATTTTAGCTCTGTGTGGCCTCAAAAGTTGGTAAAGCCTCGAAATGGAGCAAAAACTTTATTTTTGTCTGTTTTTCGAGTCGCTCTAGAAGTCACAATTATGACCCGAACACCATTAAATTTTGTATGGAGATGTGGATTTTACCATCGAATAAGTCTGACTTTTGTGGGAAAAAATTACAAAAATTTGCATTCTATGGCGTCCTGAAGAACATAAACTGGAGAAGTTAACAGTATATCGAAGAGGAGTGATGGTCCTTTTAATTTATACTAATAATATTGTTGTGTTGTACTCAGATGATTTATAGGTAAATATTTACCTTACCACACTAGAGGGCAAAAACAGCGACTGATGGCTTCGTAATTGTACATAAAGTTCCGGTTATGGTCAATGACGATAGCTATAGTTTTCGATAGTGATCAGTTGATATTCAGGGGATGAAATGGATCGAAAACGTTATTTTTGTTTGATTTTCTAGTTGCTCTAGAGGCCACATTTATAAGCCACCCATTTAGCCAACTAATTGGAAGGGCTGAACTTTCTGTGTTTAACTACAAAATTTGCACCTGAGAAAACAAGATTCTTCAAATTTTGTAAGTCAGGATGAGAAAGAGAAACAAAAGAGACCAGAATAGTGCAAATATCGGGAAATATTACCCAGGCTCAGAACATAAATTCGCAGAAAGTTCAAGTTTTGTTGTGGATGTGAAGGCTTATTGTGATATACACTGTCCGATTATACTGTTCCGCTCACTGGTTTCTGCAATGTCTAACCTGATCTTAGATCTATTTTTGACTGTTTTGAGTAAAGTCATTAACAGAACCTTGAAATCTGAGTCACATATAATGGTCTAGGATTTAATACCAGAATGTATTTTACGGTACATCAAAAATAAATGAGATACTTAAGAAGGGGTTTAGAAGAATTCCAAATAGTGAACTAGTGTGATTTTAGAATAGGAATAATCCGGACCACTTTCCTTATATCTTGAATTATCCATTGTGAAACAGATAACTCTAGGAATTTATTTTTTTATTTTGGCCAGAAAACCCAGCCCTATTGCACCAAGCTAGTTTAAACAAGGAACCGTCTGGACCAAGGGCTTGGATTGTCTCTATCTCACTGAATGTGAATGATAATGGGCTGCAAGTCTTGCATAAGATTATTGCATCTGCGGATATTTACTCGCGTGATCCTTGCTAAATGTCATTGGAGAAAATAGCAGGGAGATTTTTATTTTTTTTTGGAACCTCAATTGTAGTTGGCTTTATTATAAATTATACAGTAACAAGGATGGGTATACGGTCCGAATTTAAGGAGGCATTGGTTTGCCAGTATGAATAAGGAAAGAACGAGGACTAGCTAGATTCGATATCGCTTATAACGATGGTCAAGGGACCGGAGAAATTAGTCGTTATAAAATCGCTAATTGTCGTTATAAACGATATCAAATAAATAGCACGGCCTCTTTCGGGACTTTGGATAATGTTGTTATAAGCGATATGTCGTAAAAAAAGGTGTCGTTATAAACAAATTCAAATATTACGCAGTTTTGATAAATGGCAAAAATGCTGTTGACAGCCGGAATATATACATTGACATTTCAACATCTTCAGAATAAACTGAAATGCTCGTAATATCTAAGAAACGATCGGACCGAATGAAAATTTTTGGTGATCTTAAAATCTGCACATTTTGCTGTCGTCGGTATGGGATTTTATGATCATTCGATGTAAGAATTGAAGAACTATAAGGAGTGTTAAATGGAAGCCTAGTTTGAGTTCTACTGAATCGAGAATCTATGGTTTTTTGATTTGGTACAATACATAGAGGTAAAACAAGATTCAAAATTGATTATGGTGTAAAAATTCGGATCATAACATGTAATATTCTACAGCTTTTTTAAATCGTTATTTCATGATATCACTATTAGTGATAAGATTAGAAGTAGTAACAAGGTCTCCAAGTCATTGGTCATGGTTATGGTTAACTATTTTAGGTCTCATATGAAAATAGAAGTGTGTTTTATGTGGCATACATTTGAAAATGTCCACTGTAACGACACGATACCTTTGGCACGAAAAAAAAAAAATTATTGTGTATTTGTTTAAATGTCCAGCTATATTTTCCTCGAATAATATAAAATTAATACAAAAAACTATCCACCCCGGTAGTGTGTCTCACTGTTGTAAGAGGTTACTCCAGCCAGTTTTTAAAAAAAAGTTGGACGGAGTTACTATGAAGACCCACATTACAGAGAGAATCAACTTCTTCGACATTTTTGTAATACCTGTTTTTGCCTTAGAGAATTAAAAATAAAAACGAAAACTGTCTTGGAACGAGTGAATTAAAAACATTTAAAGCAATTGATATTCTAGCTATTACTATTCTTTTCAGATTATCCTAAAAAATTAAATCATGAAAACCCCTAATAAAAATATAAACTCAAAAATGTGAAATGGAATTGTAAATCGTCTTCTTAGAAACACTTTCCCAATTATCAAGGATACTTTGGACAACCAATTTTCCTTTCCCCTTCTTTTCATAATATCTATCATCACTTACCGCTGCTCATCATCTTCGGGATTTTTCGCCGAACCCAATATCCGTAATCTTGCCTCAGCATATTCTTGTTCCCGCTGTTTCAGTGTCTTAATCGGCTGCTTCGGTCGCATACCATTATTGCGAGGCTCTGACGATTGTGTGGGACGCCGTAATATTTTCACCGTTTGATTGACAGTGGGCTGAGTATAGTTGGCCGATGAATATTCATCGTTTGGCTTGTGTAAAACCATCATGACCGGTTCAAAGGTAGCCGCCATATCATCCAATGGTGATTTTACAAAATTCTTATTTCCTGCTGTCGTATTTTGCGTAGACGCGGAAGAATCCTGAGCCTGAGTTGAAGTACGTTGTAATAATTTCATTTGTGGTTGTTGGGGATTTTTCAACAGTGATAATGAAGAGGTGTTGGTGGCAGTAGAAGAAGAACTTTGACTTGAAAACGTTTGTTTTGTCGATTTGGAGAAGCTGATTCTCTCTGTTGTGGTGGTGTCTTGTGATGACGCTTTTAAGTTTTTCAATGAAGTCTGTAACTATAATATGTTAATACATCATTAGAATGAATGATTTATTATTGTCTTCTAGAAACAGAGTTTACTTACACCTGCTTCGTCAAATTCTTCCCAATTGTCTAGCACATCGTCACCATTTGACATGGCCTTTATTTTCACACAAAATGCAAATCAACAATTGTTTGTCGAAGTTCCAAAGGGACCAACAATGCTGGCTGGCTGCTACGTCCGTCCCTACGTTAACTTCCAACCGAGTTACTGAGAGGTCACAAAAATCTCAAAGAGGATTTTTGTTTGTCCGTCTTGCGTTGTGGTGACTCAATTGCCTTCCATATGGCAAATTTGCTTTCGCTGCTGCTTTTTTCCTCACTCTGATGTTTGAACCTTTTGTGTAATCAATGTTGAAGCATTTATGCTGGCACTGACTGAGCAGCAGCAACAACAAGAACAATAACAACAAATTACAGAACACGCACAACCTACACAGAGAGCGAGAGCGAGCGAAAGGTGGGAGTATGGGGGAATATGTCAACAAGCCTATCACCTATCTATTAAATGCCAATGATTTTGTTGTCCGCCAATGTTGTTGTTGTTCGTATTATCCTGATCGCCAAGACGTTCTCGATCAATCGCAATCACAGGTCCACCACTACTTCTTCTTCGTAGTCCAACAATTTCCGTCAATGCTGCTTCTGCTAGTGCTACTGCTGCTGATGTCGCTGTTGCTTTCTTCTTCTTTTTCGCCCTGCCTTCGTTATGGTATTTTCTTTCTTCTTCATGCAATAGAGCCAGCTTGCGTTACAAAATATCAAAGTGTTTGGTTTGTGATCAATTTAAATCTATATTTAATTTGGATATTCGACCCAAAAAAACACACACACACTTTTGCCACGAACAATTTGATTAATATTTTGTGTGGAAAAAAGAAAACGAGGCGAAATGATGTTCTTACACTTTTACATATTTTTAAGCAGGGTTGCAGCGAGTAGTAGTAGGAGACGAATTGTCATACCCAATGATGTACTGTGGCGGTAGTAATGCGCAGGGTTGTATGTGGAAATATTAACAGAGGGTGTATTCCAGTATGCATTCAGGTGGAATACAGCTGGCAGATGTGTTCTGCTAGTAACCATGGTATAATTATTACAAGGTAGGTGACTTGTTCCATCAAATTAAAATAAATATTTTGTGTATGTGTGTGTATTGTTTTGAATACAATTTCAAATAAATTCAAAATAAATTTAAATATATTCAAATTTAATTGAAATGAAAATGATGTTTTTAAAGCGGTGTACACACTATCATTTTTGAGTGACAGTTTCGATAACTTATCGGTTGTTACAGTTTTGTTGTGTTGTTTGTAGCTAATTTGTGCTAATAAGACGCCGTAAAAAAATATATTAATAAAAATGGATGATAAAAAAATTGGATGTAAAATAATCAAAAATAGGCTTCGAATTTTATTGGTTTCTTAATGAAATCTCGGTCTCACAATTTTTTTGTGAGATTGTTGTTGACCATTATGTGGATTTTTATGGGCGATTTTTTTGATAAATCAGCTTAAATACAATTCGCTCAAAATTGTCATTCGGATCATAAATGTGACCCGTACTTTGTTTACAATTTAACATCAACAGACGACGGACACGCATAAATCTACTCAGAAAGTGATTCTGTGCATTTTTTCAAAAGGAACCATGTATCTACCTCCTTTTTTCATTTTGTTGTTATATAAATTACCTTAACGGTCAATGTTGTTATTATTATTATAATTTATTTGAAATAAACAGAAAAACAAATTAAATAAAATAAAAAAAATTATTATAAACAAAACAAAAAATAATAAAATAATATTAAAAAATAAAACGTATACAACGAAAATTAAGCACGTCCTCATTTTTTATAAATAAAACAATAGACAGAGAGAATAGGGCAAATGTCGTAGTATTAGCAACAGTAGAAATTAAATTGAATGAAAAAGAATAAACAAACAAATAGAATGAAAATGAGACGAGTAAATAAGTCCTAGGACAGAGAAATGTGAAAGAATCTCCTTGCCTGTCTACTTTTGTGTTTTGGGATCACGATAAATGCCTGTGAATAGTACAGCCTTGGCGTGAATAGTACAGCCTTTTTAAAAAATAAAACGTACACAACGAAAATTAAGCACGTCCTCATTTTTTATAAATAAAACAATAGACAGAGAGAATAGGGCAAATGTCGTAGTATTAGCAGCAGTAGAAAATAAATTGAAAGAAAAAGAATAAACAAACAAATAGAATGAAAACGAGACGAGTAAAAAAGTCCTAGGACAGAGAAATGTGAAAGAATCTCCTTGCCTGTCTACTTTTGTGTTTTGGGATCACGATAAATGCCTGTGAATAGTACAGCCTTGGCGGTATTATCATAGATCAGGAACATAAATGGATGGTTACATTCGAATTTGGTTGGTTCGGCGGCTCGTGCTAAACGGAAACTGAAAACAACTGTTGCTGCTGCAGCAGTACTGCCCTCCTCATCAACCTTGATTTTGGTAACATGTTTGGCATCACCAAACATCAGGCTTGTTTCCGTGGAGAAGCCACTCAAGTTGGCGGTATGCTCGAAGATTGTTGATGCCCAATTTGCTTAGAATCGGTACCAATTCCAAATTCTCCACGTTTATGCCTCATGGGTACGAAAGAATACTGGAATTTGGAATCGAATTTATCCGACCATTGAACCAGTCAAATGGTTTTAGCATTAGCTAAAACCATTTGACTGTCGGAGGTAACATCACAGGGATTTAACATTTCGGGGATTTCGTTGCGTGTTACATTTGCAATCCAGTTGTTGATTTCCATGCGTCCCTCTTCGGCTTTGGTTCTGAAGTCCAACGATTCAAGTTCATCTTCAACGATTCAAGTTCACCTTCATGCAGGCAGCCAAATTGATGGACTTATCTAAGTAGATATGATCGGCAGCGGTGAACTCCAAAGGCATTTTCTTGGTACGGTTGTAGCGCATTTGTTTCTCCAGGCGATAGCCATTGTTGACATGTTTCTTGTTCTTGGCCCACTGCAGACGTAGTCCCTGAACCTGCGTATATTTATTTTATTTTTGGCAGAAGAAGCCACACGTACATAGTTGCTTTTTTGTTATTCACCTCAAGCTGCCCTATCTTGCATTATTATACCATGTTAGTAACCATGGTACAAGAATGCAAGGAAGAGCAACTTGAGGTTAATAGAATAAACTATATAGGTTGTTGTAGCAGGTTGGCTGTTGGTGAATTTTTTTCCTTAAAATCGTGGCATAATTATACAAGACATGGTCTGTTCTCGTACTGCAAGAATCTACTAGATTTTACTATTTTCTTCGATAACTTAAAGGAATTTTCGTTATCGTAGTAAAAAGTAGTAGATTCTTGCAGTACGGGAACAGACCAATAGTCTCATGCTGTCATATCTTTCCATTTTTTCATAAATTCAGCTTTCAAAATGTAAATAAAAAATATGTGAAAAATTGCTAAATTATTTATATTTATAAATATGTTGAAGTTCCCTGTGTCTAAAACGTATAAATATAAGTTGTAACAATCATGGTAAAATCTTGTGCCACCTCTATTAGTTTTAGCCATAAATCTATAGACAATAGACTTGTAGTCCCGGACGGACAATTGAATAGATGGTGGGCTTTGCTGACAGGAGGGGCACCTTTTTAGGTTTTCGGGGACAATGCGCTCTCGATACGAATTGAGAACAATACTTGTGTCAGGAGGAAGCCTCTCTCTGTCCGAAATTACAGGATGAATGTCGCTATCAACGATCTGTTTATATCCGATGGAATGACGTCTTGGATGCCATCATGAAGTCATGACCTATGTGACGCGAAGGTGGATATGCCATCACTGTGTGATGGTTGGGATTACACGGCACATAGCTTGCCACTCGAGAAATTTGGCCGAGTAAAATGGTAAACAGGATTGGCTGTTGTGTTGATTTTGAAGTATTGCCATCTAATTTTGGAATATTACTTGATTTGCGTTCCCGAATTTTTCAAATTATTTTGTACTCTGAGAGCGATTTTGAAATGTTTCCCTTCTACTAGCTTTACTATTAAAAAAGTATTGGAACAGACCAATTATGTTGCTTGACTGACGACATCCCGGCTGCATTAGAGACCCTAAACCCTGGATACTGGTGAAAGAAGAGAAATAGGATTTATCTGGTTTTACGATTGGAATAATTCGGGCAAATTTCCAAATACAGTATTTTTCGGTTAATTGACCCTACGGTTAATTGCTTTCTACGCTTAATTGAACCACATGATCGGGCAACAAATATTTCATAGGAAAATACATGTAAATTTTCTCGGATAATTAAACCCTGTTAATTGATTTTCCCGCTTAATAGGTTCAAAATGCATGCCATGAAAAATAAATTTCCTTTTACTTTTCACCGGTTAATTGCATAATAATAATTGAAAAATAATCTGTTTTTTTTTACAAACATATTGGACTTAATTTGTGAAAAAGACTAGGTGGGACCTCTACTAATTCAAAACATATGTTTATTGCTAAGGAAAAACTGCGAGAAAGCGTAATTTGTATTTGACATTGAATTTTTTTTTAAATCATTAGTAGTTCTAATTATACGTGGGTTCGGATAATTGGTTCCTCGGTTTCCAAATTTTGATGTGCAATTAACCGAAAAATACTGTATTAGGAATTACCAACTGTGGCATCGATAACTCGAGAACTTTGGCCAGATATCCCAGCCAATTCCCAATTAGTAGCGGATTTATCTGGTTTTAGGAATAAAATAATCCTAACAACTTTCCAAATATTACAAATTACCAACTGTGACATCGACAACTTGAGAACTTTGGTCATATGAACCGTCGGGACCAAGATCTTTGGATGGGTTGAATTTGGAAATAATTGCCACTTTTAAGATTTTTGTACCTCCGGATAACTGTTCGCTTTATCCTCTCATGCATAGATATATGTTCAATGAATTGGCGGTAGAACTGCAGTGTCATATTTACATTTGAACATTACAAAGGGTTATTTTGTTTATTTGAGATATTTTTACAAATTTATTAAATAAACAAAATGTCGCGAAAAATTAATGGAATCTGAAGATTTTTTCACAGTATGGGCTTACAAATATGATTATATTAAGAATATAGGTTATCTTTTGTCAACAAAGAAAAAATACACCTCTGACTTATGGACTTTAATGTCAGAATAAATAAAAACATTATTAACAAACACGACGAAACGAATATTCTTAGTCTTTTAAATGCATACCACAAGAAAATTCAATTCACCATCGAAAAAGATGTTGAAAACAAACTACCATATTTGGATATGCTAATTATCAGGAATGACAAAAAAATATTAACAGAATGGTACACCAAAGAAACATCATCAGGACGAATCATAAATTACCACTCGACGCAACCAAGGAATATGAAAGTAAATACTGCGAGAAGTCTTTTAAACAAAATAAAATACATCACAGACGAACAATACATAAAGAAAAACATCGAAAAATACGAAGGAATATTGAAGAAAAATAGTTACCCCCCCGGACTAATAGATGAGATAATACATGAATACAATAACCAAAAACAAAACAACCTAAAAAACGATATTCAGAAAATTAATTTTATCAGTGTACCTTACATACCGAACTTGACTGAAACAAAAAACTTGCGAAACATCATAAACGACATAACAACAACAATAGCGCACAGATCAAACAGTACACTCCAAATGATATTTAAAAGAACGAAACCAAAAGAAGAGAAACAAAAACAAAACAATGTTGTATACGAAATAACATGCAAAGGCAGCGAAGATGAAAAATGCGGTAAAGTGTATGTGGGTACAACAAAACGTATGCTAAGCGTGAGAGTGAGTGAACATCAAAACGACATAAATAAAGGAACAGAAAAAACAGCACTCTCACAGCATATAAAAGAGACTGGCCACACAGCTGACTTTAAGAACGTCAAAATATTAGACAAAGCTAAAAATGAAAACAAACGATACACATTAGAAAGTCTGCGAATACAACAAAGAATTGCCAGATCAATAAACACAAAGGAAGACAAAGACAATACCAAGCTTCAGTATTCTATTGCAATTAGTTAACACCAGTTCTGTGATATACCTAATTTTTAACTGTGATTTATTTATTTATTATTTATTTTATTATTTATTTTTATTATATAAATGTTGGTGGAGTCCCGTTTTTTAATCTAAGTAAATAATAGAAAAATGACAAATAATTAAAGTAAGTTAAAAATAAGTGCAATATTTAAAATGTAATAAATGAAATTACATCTTCATTTTTATTTTGTCAATAGATTAATAAAATCAGCTCTTGAAAATGTTGGAAAAAAGCCAACGAAACGTCGAGCGAAATATGGAATAAAATCGTTTTATTTTCATACAAAATTATCTGACCAGAAAAGCCCAACAAGAAACATAAAGATTCAATAAGAAAAAACATTGGTCAACAACAGAAATAGAAAAAACAAATTATGTTCAGTTGGGAATATTTTTATATTTAGATATTGATTCACTCACAAATCAAAATATTCTTCTTACCAATTTTGTAAAATTCATCTTTAAACAAATGGATTTTACAATTTTTTTTTTATATTTTTCAAAACATTACATACACAGTCGCACATTTTGAATACGACTAAGAATGCCAACTGTAAAAAAAAAGTAAATTATTATGTTGCTCATGGCATAATTACAGAAGGTAGTCTCATTTAAGAATTTTATGATAACAGCCCTTTTTAATTTGGAACTCATCTATTAATTGGTCTGTTCCCGAACTACAAGAATCTACTACTTTTTACTACGATAACGAATTTCCCTTTATGATATCGAAGAAAATAGTAAAATCTAGTAGATTCTTACAGTACCGGAATAGACCAAATTTTAAACAAATTGAATAATAAAATTTTATGTATGTCGATTGGCATATTTTCAATAAATTAAACAAAATATGTTTTGTAAAACTGAACATTGCTCTCAAGATTTGACCATGGTTGTTACATCTTATATTTATAAGTTTTAGAGGCAGGGAACTTCAAAACATTTATAAATTTATTTTATTTTGTGTAGGGAAACAGAACGTTTGTTTCCATTTCCCATTTGAAATCAGCTGTATTTTGATTCGAATTTTCGTCGACCTATTTCATAAAATTTCGCAACGCCGACGAAGAGAACGCCGGCGATTTTCAAAATGTCGTCATTGCAATAATTTGTTGTAGGGATACGTAGTCGAGATAAACGTCGTTTTTTTAGACGGCTTCGACTTCTTGACTTTTCAAAACAAAAAGTCGATTAATCGATTAGTCGAAAGTCGATTTACTTATCCCTAGTTTGTGGACGACCGTCGGGCTTTTTGTGATTTTGGTGAATTTATTTTTTTTAATTAGATCCTCTCCCAAGTTACCGCCAGCCTTACCCCTGATTCGCGATGGATTTCGCATCGTTCGCTAAACCAACAAATTCGGATAAAAACAGTCCAACGGCAGATGAGACTAAGACAGAAGAGCTACACTTCTGGAAGCATGTCGAATATATTGAAAACCATGGCAAAGATCAGGACGACTACGAATATTGTATGACGGAATTCTTACGCATGTCCGGCATATATTGGGGCGTCACTGCGCTGGATATTATGAATCAATTGGAACGCCTTGACCGCAACTCCATAATTGAGTTTATTAAACGCTGCCAGTGTCCGACGACAGGTGGTTTTGCGCCGTGTGAAGGTCACGACCCCCATATACTATACACTTTATCTGCAGTGCAGATATTGTGTATTTATGATGCCTTGCCACAAATTGACTGTGAGGCCGTAGTTAAATATGTGATGTCACTGCAACAGCACGACGGCAGTTTCTTTGGTGATCGTTGGGGTGAAGTGGACACGAGATTCTCGTTTTGTGCTGTTGCCATATTGACGCTGTTGAAAAAAGATTTGGCTACGACAATTGATGTGGAGAAGGCAGTACAGTTTGTTATGTCGTGCTGTAATCAAACCGATGGTGGCTTTGGTTCTAAGCCAGGGGCGGAATCGCATGCGGGTAAGTGTTTAAATTAACGTTTTCAATTGAAATTTTGATCAGAGATTAATATGCGATTTCTCGTCGTCGTTTGTACAGGTCTTATTTATTGTTGTGTAGGCTTCTTATCGTTGACACATCGTTTGCATCTCTTGGATGTGGATAAATTGGGATGGTGGTTGTGTGAACGTCAATTACCCTCGGGTGGTCTAAATGGGCGTCCAGAAAAGCTGCCCGATGTGTGTTATTCATGGTGGGTGCTGGCTTCGCTTACGATCATGGGACGTCTCCATTGGATAAGTGCCGATAAACTGAAACAATTCATCCTATCTTGCCAAGACAATGAAACTGGTGGTTTTGCCGATCGTACTGGCAATTTGCCGGATATATTCCATACTCTCTTTGGTATTGGAGCATTGTCGCTATTGGGCTTTGAAGGTCTGAAACCGATTAATGCCACCCTGTGTATGCCACAATATGTTATGGATCGTTTAGAAATTAAACCACAAATTTTAGAGAGGCCTTAAAATTGTGGACATTCTATTGGTCCATGTGACAAGAATTATTTTTTTTTTAAGGAATGAAAGACCCAAAGGAAGAAAGCTTTATTTTGCATAGGGTAAAGAGAATCAAATGCAAAAACAGATAATAGAAAAAATAGATTTTTCAAAAAGAAGAAAACAAAAAACACGCTCACTCTTAACTCTCAACTTGGTGCACCAAACAAAACTATTTCCTCAATATTTGCATTTTTTCTTTACTTCTCTACAACCAACAACAACAAAACGGACGACTACAGCTTTCCCCCTACTACTATCACCACTATTTCTTCAAGGATCTACTCGAGAACAATCTATTCAAATTTTGATTCTAACGATTTACAAGTCAAAAAATATAGTCACCATGCCTGGATATTTCAAATTGTTCGTGTTCCAAGTTTCCAAATGGATCACTTGATTCTTTTTTTGTAATTCTCCAGGCAATCTACTTTATTTATTTAAATCTTTACTCTCTTTTTTTCTTTATTGTATTTTTGTAAAATTTTATAGACAATTTATTATTACTATTTTATGTATACAAAAACAAAAACACACTCACAACAAATATAAGATAAAAAATCATATATTAGCTTTATTATTTTTTGCATTTACGTACATAAGTCTAAAAAAATAAACAACTAAAAAAACTAGTAAAGGAACAAACAAAGAATAAGTTATTTAAATTATAACTTCTTTAGTATAAAGAAACCACATACGAAATAAAAAAATAATAATTTTATAATACCAACTATAGTCGTTTTGAATATATGTTTTAAATATATTTAACATTTCTGCATACTTTGAAAAATATAGCGAGTCTCCCAACATCCAACAACTTCTCATCAACTCATTGTGTAAAATCAATCAATTTCCGTTGATGATATACTTATTTGTGGTATATTTTGGCCGAAATTGTAGATTAAAACGAACGAAATTATCATTGAACATCAAATTACAAAAAGAAAATGGAAACGGATAGGCCATACTCTCAGAAAAGGCCCTAAAAACATAGAAGGTCCTGATTGGAATATTTAAGACTTCATAAGATCTGGCCGTCTATAAATCCCTGGCGCAGAACTATTGCTCAAGAAATAAGAAAAAATTAACAAAATATATAAAGAGATTAAAATCATTAGTAATAAAAGCAATAATTAAAAAAATATAGGAAACATATATACTACTTCAAGTATTATACGGTAGATCCGCATCCAAGCTCCTCAAACAAGCTGCTACCAGCTTTCTCGCAGTAGATCTTATGGATATTGCCAATGTAATAATGGATATTACATTTCCCACAATCTGAAAATCGGACCACTTCGATCCCATTCGAACGAGCATCATCTATTTCATTCTCATTTATTTCACTATGTCCTGCAACTTAACGCGACTTGATTGCTTTAAGGATCGCCTGGCTATCGTCGTATATAAGTGCCATTCGTGAGACATTTACATATCCACTTTTCTTGAATCACACATCTACCAAATGGTCCAGTGGTTGGATATTAAGGATTACATTCAAAGCATCTTGAGATACACTTCTTAGGGCACACTATTTAGTTTGAACAAGAGTATTCGTTTGTCTGCCACCAAACAAAACATCCGTAACGTACAGCGAGAGAATGACTTCTGGTTTTAATCCCCACCAAAAAAATTGCCCTCGAAAAAAATATTCTTAAAAAAATTACTGCTCAGATAGTCCTCAAAAAAAATATATACTTCAAAAATCAACGACTGAGATAGTCATAATATAGTCCCCGATTTTTTTTTAATCCACGCCTAAGATAACTCTTGAAAAAATATTCTTAAAAAATCCACGCCTGAGATAGTCTTCGAAAGAAATATAGGAGGTGATGCAAATGTGGTATACCCATTTGTTTTTAGATTGCCAAATTTTTATTTTTTATCCGATTAAATTGAAATTTTGCACTTAACATGCTACATGTGTTGTCTTTCCATGTATCTGTTTGAAAATAATATTATTTTAACAATTTAAGAGATATTTGAGAAAATATTTGAAATCCCATAAAAAGTGTTTTTTAAAAAAGTGCAGGTAATGTGGTATACCACATGATGTTAATGTGGTATAGTATAATTTTCACTTCTAATTGATATCTTTTATAATTTTTTGTTTTTAATGAATGCGAATTAGCTCGAGATTTATGTCTGTTAAGATTTTTAACGGATACGTTGAGTGCAACTTTAATTTTTATTCTATAATAATTTCTACACATGGCAATATCTAATTTTTGTATGGAGAAGTTGTTAAAACTCATATCCTTTGTTTTTCATCCTTGTGATTCATGGTAGACTCTCGTAAAGTACGAATGTTTCACATAGTAATGAGATTTTGTCTAGTTCTGGCCTTTTTTCATGCAGAATCAAGGTATACCACATTACCTACACTTGTGTTTACTGAAGAAATGTCTAGTTTTTTTCCTAAATTGGTGATTTTGTGGTGCAATCGCGCATATTATTTGATTTTTAGTTCATACTAATTATTTTAATGCTTTAGTAATAACGATTAAATTACATCCGTAAAACAAAAAATTATTTTTAAACTTCAACCGAAAAAAGTCAATTTCATGAAAAATTTTATTTTTGGTACTGATTCTCAACGTGATTTAAATAAATTTAACAGGTCATTGCTATCTTATTTTTTTGAGAACAGCAAACTATAGAACATGTTTCAGTTATTCTAAAATTTTCAGTTTACAAAAAAAGTGACTATACCACATTACCAACCTATACCACATTTGCATCACTTCCACTATTCTTAAAAAATCAACGCCTACAATAGTCCTAAAAAACATTCATAAAGAATCAACGCTAACGATAGTCTTTAAAAATCATACATAAAATAATCCACGCCTGAGATAGTCCTCGAAAGATATATTCTTAAAAAATCCACGTTTGAGATAGTCCTCGAAAAAATATTCTTAAAAATCCATGGCTGAGAGAGTCCTCAAAAAATATTTTAATATATCCACGCCTGAGATAGTCTTCGAAAAAATATTCCTAAAAAGTCAACGTCAAGTCAAATCCATATCTGAGATAGTCCTCCAAAAAATATGTGGGAGCGATAGAATATCCATGACTGAGATAGACTTAAAAAATATATTCTTAAAAAAACTACCTTTGAGATAGCCCTTAAGAAATATTCATAAAAAATTCTCGGTTAAAATAGTCATTGAAAAAAAATATTTTTAAAAAATCCACGCCTGAGATAGTCTTCGAAAAAAAAAATATTCTTAAAAAATAAAGGCCGGAGATAGTCCTCCACAAATATTTTCTTAAAAAATCCACGCCTTTGTTTAGCGTTTTAAAAAATATTTTACAAAAATTCACCTCGTTAAGTTCCGAACTTTTTATACCCTGTACCACGTGGGGTGCATTCAAAATCCCTTATGTCGATCGGGACATTTATAGTTGGAAAACTTAAATGGGACTACTTTTAATTTATTTATTTCCAAAATTTATTCTAAATTAGGTTCACCAAATAAATTTACCAAATTAGAAAATTAGAGACATTTAGTACACAATATTTAGAAACATTTAGTACACAATAATATACATTTAAATGAGTACTCATTAGAAATCATATTCAGAATTTTTTACACTCCAACAGTGACCCTCATTCATACATATTAATCCATACGCAGGATGGTCTTCTGTGCAAAGGATGGTCTTCTGTGCAGAAATTACGTCTTTAAATTAACATTTCTATGATTTCACAGAAAAATATATTTGGTAGCTATGTCGAAATCTGGACCAATTTTACCATATATTTTTTCTACAGTCCTATTTATACTTGACTTTCATTTTCTGAAATTACAAACATGAAATTTTGTGTGAGGGCCACTTATAATCCAAAGGTGTCAGATAAGGCTGGTTTTTGGGAAGGGATGTCCGTGAAAATATATTTCCATCACTTTATTTTTGAAAGAGTTAATTTTAAATTTGAGTTCTAAGGGGAAAACAGGTTAGGTTCCACTGTAGGCGAGGACTACAACCTTTTGGTATACATTTTTGGGAAGGCCTTCGAAAATTCTACTTGGCTAATATTTTCTTGAAGCTGTAACCAATTTTTAATTTCCACAGTGGCCTGACTTATATTCCATATAAATGGGAAAATATGTAAGGCCCCAATGTAGGAAAACGGCAAGGACTACAACTTTTTGGTATGCAGTTTCGGATGGGGCATTGAAAATTCTACTAGGTCAATATTTTCCTGAAACTCTACTTTATAAAAGGAAAATAAATTCCATATAAATGGGAAAAAAGGTTAGGTTCCATTGTAGGACAAGGGCGAGGGCTACAACTTTTTGGTATGAATTTTCGGAAAGGGCATCGAACATCCTACCAGACCAAAATTTTCCTGAAGCTATAACTTATTTTTGATTTCCACAGTGGCCTGATTCACATTTCATAAAAAGGAAAATAAATTCCATATAAAGGGAAAATAGGTTGGGTCTTATTGCAGGAAGACGACGAGGGCTACAACTTTTTGGCATGCATTTTTGGGAGGACATCGAAAATTCTACTCGGTCAATATTCCACTGAAGCTCTAACCTATTTTTACTTTCAACAGTGGTCTAATTTATAATCTATATAAATGGAAAAAATTCCATAAAAAGGAAAAATAGGTTAGGACCCAATGTATGAAAACGGCGAGGACTACATTTTCAGAAGGTTTTAATTAACCGAATAAACGCATATTCATATCGTTTGTAACCTACAATACATTGTTAATCACTTGACTTTCCGGGTTCTTAATATACTCGTCAAAGGGCTTTGATTTCCAAATAGGATTTTTTTACCCATCAGACCATGAGCTCCAATTTTGCCGCATAGTGTAATTTACTCACGACTCCTCATAAAGAAGAAGAAGAAAAAAGCAATATTTAAATAATTATAATAATTTATTATTATCCTTTAATTAAATTAGTTTTTATATTACCAATAATTGTTTACAATCAATATTTTGTTTGTTTGTGTGTGTTTTTTAAATAAAAAATGTAACTAAAACTCAATTACTATATTTACAATAATATAGTAGGTATAATAATATCATTACAAATTGAACTACATTTTCAGCTCGAAGAAAAAAACTGATTAACAATCATATCTAAAAATAAAATAGATATCCAACAGATCAAAGAGCATCGAATGGGTTTAGAATTTAGTACGAACACAAAAAGTGATATGTGCACATAAGAAAGTAAACAAAAATACAATACAAAAATGAAGCTACATTCTAAGGCACTAGCTAGCATATTAGCATACCAAATACTACAACAAAAAATTTTGTATAGGGGAGAAAATACTAAAACAAAATCGCAATAAAAAACCAATTAAGTTAGGAAAGGGGAAAAAAGAATAATTTAGGAATTATATTTATCATCACTCATTAAAACATTGTAGGCACAGCCTAAAGCCCAGGAGATTTCATGGCCATCGATTTTCTTGTAGAGCTAAACATAAATACAAAATAAAATTATAAATTAATGTTGTATTCAAATAAAATAATATTATACAGGGGGGTTCTTACCTTAATCTTTTTACCTTCACCCAAACCAAAACCTTCATGCAGCAGCACAGAGATATAGGTCAAATCAAAACACATAAATGGTTGCTCATCATTGGGTATGGCACAGACGGCTTGAGCTTTCTTACGATAAGCTTCAACGGTAATTTCACCACCAGCAAATGGATCGATGAGACCCGATTCGGTAGCCCTTTCAAAATAATAACTAAATGCCGCAATTGTGTGTTCCTTCAGGGTGAATGGCTTGGGCTTAACCAATGGCATTACTTTACTCTTGATCAAATCCAAACAGGCATCAAAATCAACAATGGGATTTTCTTGTGTCGATTTGGCATGATCTTTACCCGAAATCTTATATTCCACATTACTGTAAATCCATGTACGATTGGAAATAATGGGATTAACACAAATCGATTCGAGATTTGTTTCATCTTTGGCATAACCCTTGGTAAAGACAGCATGCCGTGCAGCCATTAGACCCAAACCCAAATAGGAATGAGTAAAGACATTGACTTTTTGATTCAGCGTATTTACTTCGTGCATATATTTCTCATAGACGGGCACTTGTTCGGGATCTGTGGGTGAGAAGGTGACCTGTGTACTGCCACCACCTAAATCTAAGGCCGCCGCTTGATTGGTTTTCGATAAACGTCCAAGTAAGAAGTTCACGGTGAACCAGGAGAATATACCCTCATCGGTGCCATCCATAATTTCAACAGCATCCATATCAACACTAAACTCCGATTTAGTGAAGAGATCTCGTACAGCATTAAGTATATTTTCAGCTTTGCTATGGGGCAGAAGACGCAAACCGGCTGTAGCTTTAAGTACCAATGGTGTGGATGACCACTTATCTTTGGGTATAAAGGCGCGAGCCTCATCCAAGAGTAGCTTAATGGTATGGGCACCCTTTTCCGGTGCATCAGCAAATGATGAAAGACCGGGTTTGCGTTCCTTGAACAGCTCATCGGAAAGGACCAATTTATTATCTAAAATAAATATAAAAAGGAAAAAAATTCAGAGAAATTGATGTTAAATGTATCTCACAATTTGGTATGCATGCGCTTTGGAAAGGGCATCGAAAATGTTACTAGACCAATCATTTCCTGAAGCTTTAACCTATTTTTGATTGCCACAGTGGCCTTACTAATATTCCATATAAAGAGAAAATAGATTCCATATAAAGGAGAAATAGGTTAGGTCCCACTGTGGGACAACGGGGAGGACTACAACATTTTGGTATGCATTTTCGGAAATGGCATGGAGAATGGTACTAAGCCAATGTTTTCCTGAAGCTCTAATTTTATTAATTTCAACAATGGATTGACTTTTATATTCCATATAAAGACAAAATAAATTCCATATAAATGGAAGGCAAACGGTGAGAACTACAACTTTCTTGTATACATTTTCGGAAAGGCCATCGAAAATGCTACTAGGTCAATATTTTCCTGAATCTCTAACATATTTTTAATTTACATAGTGGTCTGGCATAGATCCCACATAAAGAGAAAATAAATTCCATATAAAAGTACAAAAGGTTAGGTCTCACTGTAGGAAAACGGCGGGAACGATAACTTTTTGGTATGTATTTTCGGAAAGGTCAAGGAAAATGCCAGACCAATATTCTCTTGAAACTCTAGCATGTTTTTAATTTCCACGGTGGCTTGTCATATATGCATAAAAACTTAAAAATAAATGCTACTAGGACAATATTTTTCTGAAGCTTTTACTATTTTCTATGTCCACAGTAACCTGACTTATATTCCATATAAAGGGAAAATAAATTAGATAAAAGGCGAAAATATGTTAGGTCCCACTACAGGAAAACTGCGAGGACTTTAGCTGTTTGGTGAGTATTTTCTGAAAGGATATCGAAAATTCTAATAGGCCAATATTTCCTGAAGCTCTAATCTTTTTTTTTTTTTTTTTGTATCGTACGTTCTCACGCCTCACTTTCCCACCCCTGCCGACCGAGGGGGCGACCTCCCCTTTCGTAGGGATCGCGTACGCATCATAATCCGCATTATGATGGAATATGAGAAGGGATAGAAAACCAGCTACAGAAATCTACTTCAACAGCCAGTTTGTTATTAAGTTGTATTATTCATTTAAAAATATGATTATATTAGATTTTATTAGGTCTATATTCATGCAAAAGTCTACGTTAGAATACACAGAATTGAAATCAATACACATTTTACTAAGTGGATCTCCCATAGAATAATTTGTGCGATGAAAATCTACGTATAATGGTTGATAATATCTACTTGATCGAAAAGGAACATTTATTCTAATGGATGAAATTAGGAAGTCTGAGGGTATATTACCGCTTAGTATTTTAATTACTATCATAGTGTTCAACATAATACGTCTACTTTTTAATGTTGGCAATCGAATTAATTTTAACCTGCTAGTGTAAGAAGGCAACACAAAGTCACTATTCCAATGTAAACCTCTCAGCGCAAAAATTAGAAATTGTTTCTGCACTGATTCAATTTTATCGGAATAAATTGTATATTGGGGATCCCATACAACAGAACCATATTCTAATATGGGTCGCACAAGAGATGTAAAAAGTTGTTTTGTAATGTAGGGATCAGAGAATTCTTTAGCCCATCGTTTTATAAATCCTAAGACACCGTGGGCTTTGTTTACCATAGAAATAACATGATTATTAAAATTTAATTTTTGATCCATTAAAATACCAAGATCAACAAATGAATCAACAGTTGATAAAACAGTACCATTAATATTGTATTGCCTTGTTAAAGTAGAAGATCTGGAAAAACACATATGCTTACATTTGTTTAGGTTTAAATCCATACAGTTTAATTCGCACCATTGAAAAAGGTTATTTAAATCATTTTGAAGTAAATCAGCTTGCTTCATGGAGTTATGGGTGATAAACAACTTGACATCGTCAGCATACATTAGCAATTTGGAGTGGATTATTGCATTTGGTAAATCATTTATAAATAGAAGAAAGAGGAGTGGACCTAAATGACTTCCTTGGGGAACGCCGGAAGGAACATTAATGGATTTGGAGAGACAATCATCAAACAAAACTACCTGTGATCTATTTCTCAAAAATATCCATTTAACTAAATTTATACTGAAACCAATTTGATTTAATTTATATATTAAAAGTTCATGGTTAACCCTGTCAAAAGCTTTACTGAAGTCAGTGTAAATCGTGTCGGTTTGATTACGCTGAATAAAACCTTTTATGACGGTTGAGGAAAATTGAATAAGATTGGTAATGGTTGAGAGGCCACTACGAAAACCATGTTGATATGGGCTTAAGATTGGCTGAACTTTATGAGAAATTACATCAGTAATCAGTTTTTCGAATAATTTTGGAATTGCACTTAATTTAGCAATTCCTCTATAATTCGAGACATTAGTTAAGCTACCAGATTTGTGTAAAGGAACTATATAGGATTTCTTCCAGAAGGTCGGAAAATGACTATATTTCAGGGAATAATTAAACAATAGCGTTAAAGGGATAGCTAATGTATCTGAACAGTACTTTAGAATTATGCTAGGAATGCCATCCGGACCTGGACTTTTAATTGATCTTAAATTACGTAGATTTTTAGAAACATATTGACTTTGTAAAAAAGGCATAGATATTTGATCTATCGTCGATAATTTATAACTATATGTATCTTTATTTGGACAGGGTGAATATGAATATGTTGTAGCGAAAAAATTTGCAAAGCACTCTGAAATTTCAGAGTTTTTCTCAAATGTCTGATTATTGAATTTCAAGATGGTGGGCTTTGACGTAGCTTTTCTTTTTATATTAACAAAGTCATAAAAAGATTTAGGATTGGATTTGAAATTAAGTTTAATCTTGTTTAAATAAAGATTGTAAAGTTTTCGGGACTCTGACGTATATTTAGACCTTGCGACAGCATATTTAGCATAATCTATAGAGGAGCCTGATTTTTTATATTTTTTAAAAAGTTTATTTTTATAATTTTTAATACTTGAAAGCCCAGATGTGACCCATGGATATCGTTCCGAGTTTCTAACTCTAACAATGGGAACACATTCTAGAATAAATTTATTTAGGATATCATAAAATTTATATACTGATAATTCTAGATCAATATGACCCTTACAAATAAATAATGTGCTCCAATTTACGTTTGAGATAAGTGCGTTTAGCTTTCGGAAGTCAGTTTTATTATAATTAGGAACAGATTTAAATGATATTAAAGAATTGTTGGTAGCTAAATTATTATGCATCATGGATATGCATAATGTAGGATGGTAGTTATCTTCGGGAGTACATACTGGAGGTATTCTAATAATTTCAAAATATTGTGTATAATTCACAAATGCTAGATCTAGAATTCGATCATAACAATTTGATACGCTATTTATTTGATAAAGATTTATGTCGCTAAAACGATTTACAATTTCAAAGGTATATAAGTTTACATTTGCATCAGATGTCAAAGGTGTTAGAGCCTCAGAATCTGGCAATGAAAGCCACTTTACGGACGGCAGATTAAAATCGCCGAGAACTAATATTTTGTCAGAGTCATTCATTTTGTTAGTGATTGAATTTATTGCTAACAAATGCTGATTATAAATATCAAGTTGCGATGAGGGAGGAATGTATGAGCAAGTCACAAATAATTTAAAATTTTCTAATTCAATGGATATGCAAATAAATTCGATATCAAAACAGTTTAATTCAATTAAATTAGTGGAATATTTGGCATCAACTGCAATAAGGACGCCACCACCTTTTTTAAGAACTCTATCTTTTCTAAATATTTGATATCTAGAACACAAAATTTCACTATTTAACACGGATGGTTTTAACCAAGTTTCAGAAAATACTATAACATCATAATTAAACCCAAGGCTATCAGAGAATAATCGAGTTAATTTTGTGTTTAACCCTCTTACATTCTGATAGCAAACATTGAGAAACATATTTAGTTTTTTGGCAATATTTCAGCCCTCTGAGGCAAATGAGCTAAATTTTCAGATCTTTCCAGAAATTCCTTTACAAATGCATTAGCTCTCAAAATTAGTCGATGAAACATACTTTCTTCTACTACGATTTTAAAAGATGATCTACTTTCTGAGAAAGCAGACCGGAGCTTATAACAACGTAGAAAGAAATTTCCATCGATTTTTGATTTTATATAATAATTTATATCCTCAGCCGAGGTATCTGGTGCAAACCTAGATACAAATACCATTTTCCTGGTGGGAGCCATAGATAATGGTCTTTGACCAGGTTGGAGGGAATTGCTAGTGCCAGCTACGGAAGACGCATTAGATGATTGAACTGATGATTCCCGATTTCCGTGAGTAGGTTTTGAAGTCTTTTCCAGACTAGCACTACTTATACTCACAGATTTTGGATTTATCACTTCATTTACATCCTTAACGATTTCCGAGGCCGAATGTGACGCAACACTAGCATATGTCTGGACACAATCAGTTTCCGTTGTATCTGTGATATTGACGGAAGGTGATTGTGGCACTGTATTCCCAACAGAAACTGTGGGTTTGCGACTAGGCACGACTTTATTGGGAGCCTTTTTCGCAGACCTTTTACGTTTCTGCCCAGACACAGGCGGTGATGATACAAATTCATCAAGCTCTTGGTACTTGTCGAACAAATTCGAAAAATTCTCAAATCGTTTTGATAACGATGTAAATTCCTTTTTCATCGAACCAAGCTCCGACTGCAAGTCTTTTACAAAGTTATAAAAGTCAGCTGAAAGTTTTCGACAATGGACACAGCACCAACGGACACCAACATTATCCCTAATTGTGTCCACTACTTTTGTATTAATTCGAGCACATTTAACGTGCCATTGATTAAGGCAAAACCAGCATGTGACACACAACTCATCATCTACGGAAATATTACATAACTCGTAAGGACAAACCATTTTAAAAATTATTATTATTATTTTTTAAATAATTTATGAATTTACTGGAATTTCTATCCCTTTAATTTCTTATGAAACACACAATTTGGCAACTCTGTTTTGAGATGTCAAAATAACAAAACAAAATAAAATTAAAAGAAATGTTACAACAACAATATAAGCTAATGCAACAAAGGAACAAATTGGGAATGGAATCAAAATGCCAATAAGAATTAAAAAGATTAATTAATATTAGGAAAAATATGTTATATTTCACACTTCCAATTATATCAAAATGCACAAAAATTATTTCACAACACTTTTAAACACCGTTACCACAAAAACACAGACTATATTGTTAGAAATTAAATATTTTTTAAACGAGCACAGAGCACCACAAAATTAGTGAACATTCACGACAGGGTTGCCAAACGACAATCTATTTTCAATGTTACAATGGTAAAAAAGTTGTCATGTTTAGGCTATTGTCGCTTTTACTGCTGAGTATTTCTCTGATTAATCTGTTTCGTCTTCTAATTCCAAGTTCAAAAAAGCTGCGACCTGTACAACGTATGTCCATAGGGAAGATGGGTTTTAGTTGTTGTAACAGCACTATTGCTTTTAGTTGAATAGGTTTGGCTGGGTAGTTGAAGAGGGGTAGAGTATCATGTGAACAATTACCACATGTCCGACAGATATTATCCATCATGCCCTCAACGAATTAAAGCACTGCCTCGATCTCAATTTTGGCAAAGCCAATCAAATTTGTCTCGGTAGCTGAGGCTCTCGGTGACGGGTGTTCTCCGAAAATTTTATTCACCCTGTTTTCTCGAATTGTTGCATCAACACATAAGTGTGAATACAATTCAATACCGCTTTATAGGTCTCTATTGTATTCCTGGACCTCTATCTATAATCATAAGGATCCTTCCTGACATGCCTGGGTGGCAGATGTTAGGTGGTGATTCGGATGACTACCCAAGGTAGTCACACACACAATCAGACAAAACATCTTATAATGTTGACGCACAGGAAGGATCTTCATCTACAAATGTATCCATATTAGATACATAAAAAACAGAAGTAATCTCACTCCCTTGACCCTTAATAAATTAAACATATACGAAAATAAACTATAATTTTACTTACCTATAAAACTACGATCAAATTTATAAGCCAAGACACGACTACCCGTGGAGCCAGCATCAATAATCACAGCATATTGATTTTTATTATAACCCAATTTGGACGCTAATTGTACTAGAAATGGACTGGTTGTGTCAATATATAAACCTACAAATGAAATTCATACAATTAATAATTAATTCAAACAAAACAAAATGCACTTCTCTTACCAAATACCACCAAAAGCAGACAAACCGATACAATTAAACAGAAGAAAGATAATTTAAGACCGCTGGGTAAGCCACCGCCAGAATTACCACTGCTGGGTGATTTACGGCGGGTTGTTGTGACTGAGGCATTTTTGTCATCGCTGGAGCTTAGCTGTAAAAAAAAGAAAAAATTAATTTTATTTTTTATTAAATAAATATATTAGATAAAAGTTAAATAAAAATATACAAAAGCAAGCATATAGCCTACCCCATCCCACCCAACTCTCATTTCTTTACATCTTCAATGCAATGCTGCTGCTGCCCTTACCAAAACGTAGTCAAATTTCATGTTCAGTTGACGCCCTCAGTGTCTTTGAAATTGCAGTGTTAATAATTCAAAATAGCATGACGTTGTGATTAAATTCTTTATTTTTTCGAATATAATAAATTTGAAATGTTTTCGTTGTATTTTTTCTTTCGTTATTTTAACACGTCAAAAAACCAAAGATGTTACTTCACTTCATGGGTTCCTCTTATCGACTTTACTTCCCATGTTATGTCAAGTGCTTTTCGTTATTTGGTTGCTGTTAAAACAGAGTTGGGAGTTTTGATACGACAGACCATGTAAAGGTTATTCAGTTTTTAACATATTAAAAATAAAATATTAATTATTTATTTTTATCAATTATTATTTTTCAATATTAATTATTTATTTTTCAATAATAATAAAATATCTGTCTATTATGTGTTAATTTCTTTGATTCTAATAAGAATATAACCAGCTGTGTTGTTGTATAATGACATTTTGTCATTTGTTATTAGAATACATCCATCTCTGCCAAAACAACCTCATTTTCTGGTTTCCGTCGGAAAGAGAAGAAAAGCGAGCGAAAACAATTGGATTTGTTTGCTATTCAAAACAGTGATGCCAATTTCGTTATATTTAAACTACTAGTGGCGATTATTTATCATAGCCATTTAATGGTCTGTTTCCGTACTAGTACTTACTATTATGTTCCATATCATAATAGCAATTTTCTTATCGTAGTAAAAAGAAGTATATACTTGCAATAGGGGGAACATACCATAAATGGGGTGGGGAATTAACTGGGGTTGTATTCCATTTGTAAATTGTTGGAATGTATGGTAATCTTTTACCATGAAAGAAACCAACTTAACATGCCAATCCTACAGTCCTCTTATGTGTTCCCCCATAAGGAAGCTAGAAGATAATATAAATAATTTTTGCTAGATAAATTTTATGTCCAATGAGAGCTAAAAATATCTAAATATGACCAATTCATTTGGAAAATCTGATTTCAAATTTTCAAAATACCAAAAACTGCAAAAGCAAAATTACATCTATAACATACATATCGATTATAAATGTTTAAACATTTAAAATACTAAAGAACGAGCGGATTAGTTATATGGGATATTAATCACTTTGTTTTAGGTAGAGCCGATAAATATATTTCAAATCTGTCATGCTCAACAACGGTCAAATTTGATGACATTGTGGGTCACGGTTTAGACATGAGGTCAAAATTAAAATTTCATATTTTTGTGAATATAATCTATATTTGAAATGATTGATTTAAAATTTACACGTCTCACGTTTCTCTGAGAGTGTATTGGTATCTTATGAACTAGGATAAATCCAATCGGTGAACATTTTTAACTTAGATTGTGGTCAAAAAGTTAAAAGTTATTGCCGATAATATAAAAATAGACGTAGAAAATTGCCTTTAGCCATTTAATAAAAAAATAAATAAAATTGATTTTTACCAACACAGCATGCTGATGATACAATTTTAAGATTCTTGTCTCAATTTCAACACAATAGCTTTAATTTTGTATTTTAAGTTGGCATTGTAGCAAATATTCTTACCAAAAATCAATTTTGTTCCACTATTTGTGGTTGTAACCATATAACGGTAAGCCCTTAATATTGTTTTTTTCTTTAGATTTTGTGGGCGTTTTCGAATCAAATTGCCTGTTTTAAAATGTTTTCCCATGTTTGATCCGCCATTTCGTATTCATTTTAATTTATTTTAAAAATAGGATTTCACATTCGTATTCATTGACCATAATGTTCAAAAATAATTTCATTAATACATTTTTTAACAAATATGACCGACATTTTCGATCCACTGTTATTATTAACTTCTTTTTGAAGAATCGTAATCAGCGTTTTCGTTTATTTTAAAATACCGCAAAAGAATGAGGTCCCTGGCCCATAGTGGACTCGGTCATATCATTAAGAATTTGTCTTCTCTGGTATTGTGAATTGTGGTTGTTTCATAACTTCGACAACGTTCTATTTCAAATATGTTGGTAGGGGCTAGTGAGCTAACTTCGTAGTACGATCTGTATCAATTATTCAGTATTTTTTCAACAATTTTAAGATTATTTGAATGTCCACCTCATGGCGGAGAGTGTAAAAAGTTCGGCCCGGCCGAACTTACCTAATTTTTTACTGAATTTTCATTAAAAATACATCCATCCCTAGCACAATATAGAGCAGTTTGGTATTTTTGGCGTTTTTTTTAACATGCAATTTAGTAACACTGCACCAATGAGAGAGAAAAATCTTAAACAGCTGTTAATCTATAGAGAGAGAAAAACAAAAGATACATAACAGTGATGCCAATTTCCTCATAATATATAAACGCAGTAAATGTGTATTTGGCTATAATGTCAACGATTTCCATATTACCCTCACAATAAGGTAGGCAAAAAAAAAAAAAAAAAAAAAAAAAAAATACATATTGCGGAGCGTAAATGTAAAATTTTGAAAACTAATGAAATTATCGAATTAGGGCTAATTCGGCTGAAAAACGTGCCCAAAATCCCTAGAATACCGACTTAATGTGGGGTGCCGTTATATGGGATTATCCCGGTTCGGAAAATTTGCTATGAAATGAGAATTCAAAATATTAGGTGACCCCCCCATTATCGAGTTTTAATTTCGACCATATTCAAACTGTACTGATGTCTTGTAAGTTTTCATAAACTGACGACTTGTAACTAACTATAAGTAATTGAAGACGTAAATCATAAGAAAACAAGTGAAAATGGTGTTAAGTTTGGCCGTGTCAAAAGAACATTTATTGGGCAAAGATATGTTTTCAAATTACAGACACTTTGGTGGGAAAATAGTTCTAAAACGGGAAATGGAACGGAACATTAAATGGGGGCAATATTCAAATAAGGCTACGAGAGCCCTAAAATACCTGAATTTGAGGGTCTAACGTTATATTGGATCCATCCTGGCTGAATATTGACAATTTTCGTGCATTCTTTTTACAAAATTACTGCCGAATGCGAATAAACACCCAAACACCCAAAAATAACAAATAATGGACGGTACCCTTATATGTGAGCAATGCCAAAAAGTGGACCAATATTGATAATTATCGTTAGGAATGATATCTTAAAATACTAATTGAAGAAAAATTATAAATACAGTCGAGTACGGTTATAGCGAACTAGTAGGAATCAAGCAATTAAATTCGTTATAGAAGAAGTTCGTAATATTTAAGGTAAGGCAAAACATAGGCTAGCAGACAAAATATATTTCGCTAGGAACTGGTAGGCTTCGAGTCCTTTTCACAAGAATACTTATGCTGCCTCTCCTTTTCTGTGATAATCATTTAATCGCTGTATACCAAAGGAAAACCAAGGAAATTGCTGATATACACGAGTCGCCCTGATGGTACCATATTGTCTAGGGCTACAAAAATTCGCAGAAGGATTGCGGAACCCCTCAAAAGATCTTTATAAAAAATATTTAAAAAATCTGAATCCATTCAAAAGCTATAGCAAAATTACTATAATTGTTTCAGATAGATTATCATTTAAACATGGATTTAAATATGTCTAGATTTTTAGTTCCCACATCTAGATCAGATCCGTATAGACTAATTTAAAACAATAAACCACATGATAGTCCCATTTTTTAATGAATTACAGCGCAATATTTTGATGGGTACAAATTTAACCCGGATATTAATCTACGTATACTTTTTTGGTTATTGACTGTAGGGTTAAATATTTTTTAACCCTCCACCTTGGGACGGAGAGTATATACATTGTATTTGAATTATTATATCGTGTCCAATCAAATATGAGACCAGTAAGAACCCTCTCTCCCACTTCTGCCGATCATTTCTGTTTACTCTAAACTTTTTTTGCTCATCTTATCTTTTTATTTATTTTTTAAGAGTGTGTACACGAATCTGTAGACATTTACTTAATTCAAAACACGTTATTGTTGTTTTTATTTTTTATTCTATGACTGTTTTGTAAATTACAAAATGAGTTGCAAAAAAACGAAACGAAAAGTAATGTGCTAAAAGATAATAATAGGTATGTGTATGCGCACACACTCACTCATAGCTGACGAAGGGAGATAGATTAGTACTTATTATACCTGCTATACATTTCAATACAAAAAACCCTCACCTATATGAGTAGGCATATTAGGAAGAAAAACTAGCATAGCTTTAATGAAAACAATGTATGGATAAATACAATTCCTTTTATTTTCTGTAGAGATATTTCAGTATAGATCTCTTATCACAATATCGTTTTTTTTTGCCATAGGTCATCAAAAATTTGCAATTCCTAAATTAAAAGTCATTGTGGTGTGTGTTTATCTACCTATCGAAAGATAGGTATAACGTGGTCGTCGGTTGCCTTGGCAATAATCTACTATTTTAATAATATTTGTTATTTCCTATAAAAATTATGAAATTCTTCAAAACATGACTGGCAAAAACAATACGTTACAGTAAACAAAAACAATATTAATAATTTTTTTTTTTTACGAGAACTAACAAAATTATTTAATTTAACGACAAACAATTGTTTAATAAAAACGAAATAAAAAAACCAAAATGTGATGTCATCATCTAATGTACCCACCACCATCCCGCACTATATCACACATTAGAGAAATGTGGATGTCAATCAGATTAAGGTTCATTTAATTCAGATTTTTTTTCTACAATTTGTTCAATTGCTGTTTCAATTTATTTCAAGAATTTGGCTAATTTTCAAATTGGCCAACCCCACAACTATTGAGAATTATCGTGTTGTTGAATATCGCAAAACATTTGTAGTTGAACCCCAACCACAAAACTTTTGAAATTAATGCTCGCTGATAAAAAATCAAATAATCAAATTGATAGGTGGTGTTTTTGGTTATTGGTATCAATAAAACGCCATTGCCGGGTGCTGGTCTGGCTAGACATTACATGATGATATAAGGAGGTGGTATGGGGTAATACTGTTTAGTTTTGAAATTAAAGATAACAGCGGGAAAAAGTCAAGCGTCATCGCCATGTGGGCAATACTTTGATAGGGCAAAAATGTGCCTCATGGTATATTAGTTTTGCACCCCATGTTTCTTGGGCAAAATCGGTTTTAGACAATTTGGATTCGATTTCCATTCGAATGTCCGTTAATAAAAATTACCTTTTTATAATATCACGCAAACGGACTATCCTATTTGAATCAAACTTTGCACAAATTATTATCTTTACCTTGCCTAGATCTAGTCCAAAAATGGGATCCATTAGTCCACTTCTTCTGGTACCTCCCCTACAAATGATCAAAATTTTTCAATATTTATAATTCCAATATTTGACGAATGGAATGTGCGATATGATTTAAACTTTGCACAAACTATTATCTTTGCCTTGCCTAGATTAATTTTTAACATGAGACCCATTGGTACACCCCTTCGTTTAACTCCTCCACCAATGGTCAAAATTTTCAGTATTTATAAATCCAGTATTAGACGAATGGAATGTCCGATTTGAACCAAACTTTACAAAACCTATTATCATTAACAAGCCTAGATCAGAAGGTGGGTCCCCCCATTTTGGTACCTCCCCAATATTTTATAAATGTGTAAATTTTATTAGAAGCGAATTGAACAACCATTTCATCAACATTAAATCGGAAACCTCTTTTATAAATAAGCATATACTTTATATAAAACGATTTATAAAACCCATGAGTAATTCCATATACCTCCACAAAACATAGGCTGAGTGTATATAGCTGTCGGATTATGGATAATGTTGTTGTACAACAAACGATACAACAACCACATGAAAATTTGTTGTTGTAAGTTATACTAGTGTCAACGTCATTTGACAAAAAATGTAAACAAACAAAAAAACAAATTATCAAAAAATTATATTTGTTTTGAAAATATACTATTTTCGATTCCTCAAATAAAATTTGAAAATCTATCAAATTTATATTTCTATCGTTTCCACATCTTTTTTCGATAATTGAGCCATTGTCACTTATATGTGTAATATGTACGGAAATGCTGGCAATTGCGAGTTATGAAGAAAGATTAGCTTCCTCAAACTGTCCCAGCAGGCAGATAGAGTAAAATGATTACGGGAGGACATTTAAGAAAGAACAATTTCGAATTGTATGCGTTCCCAATTTTGCTGTTGGGGATTTTTTTCACGTTGGAATCAAATCAGCTGGATTTTGCTGTTACCTTTCATAAATGTACCCTGTGGATAAACATGGTATTTCGAAGTCTCAGAGAAAAGTAAAAAGGTTCAGCCGAATCGAATATTATATACCCTCCATTACGTGAGTTGCATTCAGAATTCCCTAAGTAGAACGGGACATTTATATGGTGACTATGCTATGTTAAATTATGTTATAGTGTTCCAAATTACAGACACTGTAGTTGGAGAACATCAATTACAGACACTGAAATTCAAAATATCGAAGATTTGACATCACATAAGAATTTGGTAAATCAAATTAGAGCGAAATCGCTTGAAAAACAAATATCGAATAATGGGTGTATCATTTAATAAAGAGGCGCAATCCTGAATCTTGGGACAATTTGATCATTTTTGGTAGGGGGATTTTCTACTCAATGACAATCCAAAATTTAAAATTACTGATAATTTGGTAGAAGCACGTGTCCAAGATCCCCAAAATACCTATATTTAGGATATAGCCTGATATGGGGAATTTCCTAAAGATGATAAACGGAAAAATCGAATTAGAAACAGTTCGGTCAAAAAACGTTCCCAAAACCCTCCAAAATAACGAATAATGCGGGTTACCATTATATGGGGACTACCCGGAAGCATGGGCCAATGTTGATAATTTTTGTTAGGGACATTTTATACCCAATAAGAAACCAAAATATTAAATTGGTCCCACGTGCTCAAGCTTCCCAAAATACCAATCTTTGGAGAGTTATATGGAGGATTCCCAAAAGGTAGACCAATATTCATAATTTTAGTAGAAAAATTTAGTACCATAACGCAACACAAAATTAAAAAAAAATTACAACCAATTTGGTATCGGTATCGGAATATATCGGTACCCCCATTTATATCGGGCCACCCTGAAGCTTGGGTCAATATTAATATTTTTGGTACGGACATGTGCTATACAATGTGAACCCAAAATGCCAAATTAGGTTGAAAATCTGTCTAAAATCGCCAAAATGCCGAGTATTGGTGGTACTGTTATGTTATACTATACCAAAACGTGGGCCGATATAGTCCATTTGAAATACCAACCATCCTTGGAGTAATGCCATTGGAAAATTTCAAAGATGTATCTCAAGGGACGGGGGGACAGACAAAGAGACACGCATATATCGACATAGAGTTATATTCTGATCAAGAACATACAGAAAACTTTCGATAATGTGAACACTCAAACTGATATTAAGGTATTGAAAAAATCAGGGAAACAGCTGTAAATAACTGGACAAATTGAAAAAAAATTAACTACCCCGACATTAATTAGTTTATATTATCGAGAGTTCAATGTATATACTTTATGGGGTCTCAGGTAAATATGTCGATGTGTGGCAAACGGATTGAAAAATACAATGGTGGAGGGTATAAAAATTCAAAATTATATGTGATGAGGCACAAAATTTACCTACTATTGAAAATTATTTGTTGAAGTCTTTATATCTGTCGGTAGGTTTTAGTCCCCAATTGAACAAAAATTATTCGTTACTTCTGCCGTAATACTTTTACAAAATCGCACTACAGCATCCGTTTAATCCAATACTGAGTCATCACATCAAAATGTTTCGTGGCATGCTTTTTTCAGATGTTTCCCGGCAAATTAAGAGGTTTTTAAAAAAAATGTACTTAAATTGAAAAACAAATTAAATGATACTCGCAGCTTTACATAAGATCCGACATTTTTTAAATATTCGCCTTTGGACCAGCTACAACAAACACCATCGTAATAGTAGAACAATGTTCATGATTTGTGGTCATAATCATTAAAAATATTTGTTTTAATTTTTTCAGCTGCATTTTTATATTCTCCTTTGTACTGAAGCATTTGAATAATCATTTTCATTCATAATTTTCCCATTGTAAACATGTTAAACATGACTGAACGCGCCACACAGTTATTTTGTCGTCCCAAACACTACCTGTTGCACTCAATTCCCTTGCAAATGAATTCCTCCAAAAATATATAAAAATAAATATATCACAATTGTTATTTTCAAATATTCCGATTAAAAATATTACACTCACCTTACGTTTTCGCACATCGGGTTTGGGCATTTTGTGTGTTGGTTTTTTTTACAATTAATTTCTTCTCCTAGGGGTAATTTGTCAATGTAATTTATTGTTGTTGTTGTTGATATCTGCTCGCATTCACATAAAGAAAAAATAACAAAAAATAGATTTCAATTACAAACGGTCGGTCATCATCAAGTGTACTTTTTTCACATTACATAAAAATAAGTACTTGATGCACACAAGGCTAATTTTAGTTTTGTATAAAACTTTTTTTTTTAATTCTTGTTATTATAATTTATTCATTTATTACTTTTCTTAGTTTAGTTGTTGCGGCTTTTTGAACTTCAAACATTTACTATGTCACACGTCACTACTACCTAGATTCGTTGTCGTTGTTTGTTGTTACAGCTCTCGTTGATGTTTCCTTGTTAATTTTCTTTAATTGACATATAAAAATAACCACCCTTTATCTATTATTAATAATAGCCACTTTTATAATATAGTACGGCCGTTTTATAAAAAAAACTACTTTATTGACCCATTCGTTCTAGGTTTTATTTTGTTATTAATTCCCACGAAATCTAGTGAACGAATGAAGAATGAACACTACTACTATTTGCCACTTTCTGGACGGCAACAACAAACCAGAAGAAAATGGATGTAAAAACAGAACTAAGAAGAAATCAGGTTAAAACCGATTATTTTTTGTAATCGATTTATCTTTTATCGACTGTTGTTCATTTCTTTCAGTTTCATGCAATAATGAAATTCTAATTTAAATTTTTCTCTTTAAAATGACTTTATTAAACTGATTTTTTTTTTGTTATTTATTTATTAATTAAATAAAATATAACAGATTTCATTCAAAAGCTTCCTATCTATCGCTTTACTACTATTTAACAAGGCAGAATACTATGCCATTAATAGCATATAACGCCGTTACTAATAACAACCGGTAATAAACGCACTCACACAATTTTAACTCCTTTGACGTTAGTACATTCAAACGGCACAAGAGTGATTGCAATTTAAAAGTCTGCTTTTCCACAGGCAGATTTTTATTTGGCAAATTTTTTGTTTTCTCTTTTGAAATTTTTGCTTGCTTTTCCATTGACAATTTTTTTTCTTTGCAAAATTTGCGAATCAAAACACAAAAGAAAGAAAATAAAAGTCAAAAGTGTTTGCATTTTAAAGATTTTTTTAATATTTTATTTATTTTTTATATATTTTATTATATAAATTGCAAAAATTAAAAATTAAATTTCACTTGCACAAATTAAAGCAACAGAGTTGTAAACAAAAGCCGGTTGTGTGTCAGTAAAGCGAATAGGTTCAAAAGGAAATGTCAATAAAATTGTTTTCAACGAACAGAGCAAAGCAGAATTTGCGTGTACGGCAAATTCTGAACAGGTAAATTTTTGTTTTTCTTCCTCGCACCCCTCTCGCCTACAAACTCAGTATTTGCCAAATAAAAATTTGCCTGTGGAAAAGCAGACAAAGCAATTAAATCAGCAGTGCCCAAAATAGGTCCCATGGGCTGTCGGTGTGTGTCAAAACTCTCACACACACAATGATAAAAATAGAAATATTTGAAAATAAAAAAATATTTTCAAAATTGTCATTCATTCCTTTTTGTTTTCATACACTGAACGAAAAAATTAGGACATTTTTGGAAAAAAAATAGTTCAGAAAAAGTCTAAATATGTGACCAATACAATGTGGATTGGCGAAACAGAAGCAAATCTATCATTATATAGGAAATTATATCATTAAAAAGCATATTTACATTGAATACAAAAATCTGTCTTAAAATTTGAAATACAAGTTTTTACAATTTTTCTCACAGTTTAATAAGAGAGAAACATAAATTTGAAAATTGTGTATTTGAAACAAATACAATAACAAACATTTGCATGTATTAGTGTGGACAGCCCTGAATTAAACACATAAAATATAAATGAAAAGTTTGAATTTTGTTGTTGTAATAAAATGTCTTATTATCAAATTATTTTTATTTTGAAAATGAAATATTTTCCTGAAAAACATGAATGAAAATCAAAATTTATATTTCTATCGTTCCACACCTTTATTATAATTGCCATTGCCATATATATGTGTAACACATATGAGAATGCTGTATCGAGTTATTCCTTGAAGAAAGATTTGCTTCCTCACTTTCCCAGTTAATATCCACATTTAATAAAGCAATTTCAAATTGAGTTGTATTTTTAAAAACATAATTTGTTAAATTCTATACACAAAGGGGTGATAAAATACAGTTTGTGAAGTAAATGTTTTTAGGCTTCAGTAAGGGGCGGTTCTGTATAATTTGCCATTCCTCAAAATAGAGCTGGAACAAACATTGCTACTACTTCTGGGATGTTAGGTAGAAGTCCCTCGCAACATCCGAACCACATTGAAAGGGACATCTGGATTGAAAGCATTCCTAAACCACGTGCAAAGACCACCACGGTAGTCCCTCCAAACGAGGAGAAGACTGTTAGTGTTCCTAGCGCGGGATGCTGGGACATCTGAGCCTTCAGTACCTCCTACGGGTAAACTGAGATATCACAGACACCAGGTAAAAAGGGCTCCAAGAAAGCTGATAAGGCACAGTCTCCCTCTGAAAATCAACCCGAAGTGTCGAAACCGAAATCTAAGGTTATGACAATAGGGCAGTTGTTTGTAGATAGACCAAAAGGAGCGAGCGTAAAGCAGGTGGCTGCGTGCCAGCTGGATCAATCTCTGCATCAGTTCCCACTCCGGGAGCCGAATCTCGACCACAGCCCACAGCTGTGTAGAGTATGAGACCCCCGGACGAACAAAAACCTGATGCTAAGAGATACACGCAGTCGTCACATGCACGAAGTACTGCTTCGTACGCGTGGCTAATGTCGATGGAGATACCTGCCAGGAGCGGTAAGGGTGTGGTGAAAGCCAAAGCCACTGTCTCGAAGCAGGTAGCCCAGGAATCTACACCGGCGCCTAGCGACCCTACTGCTCCACAAGAGGTACTGGAGGATCCGCGAGCAGCAATTGTGGATCGAGCTGACCCCAACAAGATTATAATGACGATAAAGGCAGAAGATGAAGCAACCACCACAGTTATCTGAAAGACCTCCTCCTAACCGAACCAACGGAACCGTCGATCAACGTTTTGGCCAGATCACCTTGTACAAACGGTCAAAGTTGTTAATAGTCGTACTAAGGAGTCTGCGGATTTCCTTCAGAAGACTATTAACAGCTGCGACGCTTTTTGGGAAGGTAGTAGACTGGCAGCCATAGCGGTCCACGAGATACCGAGCGGTATGGTAAACTCAGTATAAATCCCTCCACCTTTTAAGGGACTGTAGAAGACACTGAGGTTAGTGGAAAAGTAGAACGACGGACTTGAGATGAGAAGGTGGATAATCTCATTTGAAAGAAACGGCGGTGTTATCGCTAAGTTCGCTACCGATACCAATTCCGTCTCCAGACAATAAAACAAGGATCAGTCAGCAGCAAATGATAAACGTGGTGCAGATAAATATGCATCACTGTAGAGCAGCAGTAGCTGAGCTGCTTTTCTCCCCAAATTGACGGTTGGTTTGAGCGACTCTAAATTCACGGTTTGGACCGCCTCCACGGGGAAGAAGGTAAGAGCTAAAAAAAAACTTAACTTAGAAACTCTTAACTTAATGCTTCAATCAAATTTCAGCAATTGTGATATGATGGCAGTTAGATTAGATAGATTAGGGGTAACTCGAGATCCCCTATATATATAGTGACACCGCTTCAAGAGGTGAGTCCATTTTTGATTTTAAACGGCATATACATTAGAACTTTTTACCGGGTTAACCTACTTTATGAGGATTTAATTGACATATATGCAAAGGAATTGACAATTGGAACCCACTGGATTAACGAAATCCGGTTAAATGTAAACGTACTATTATAATTAGTTATAATCTTATAATATGTAATAGGGACAACACACCAACGTTCCTTAATAGATTGAGAGGTGAAGACATCGACATAACCCTCACTAACATGGACGACTCTGGGGTTACGAACTGGGAAGTATCTGAGAAATTTTCCTGGAAAATCCCAGCTACTATGAAAAAGCAAAGATCGCTTTGGCGGTTGTACTCAAGAAGTATAAGTAGAAAAAAGTCGATATTTTTGCAAGAAAAGTGATGGAAAAATAGCTATTTCCATTAATGAATTTGGAAATTGCGTATGCTTTACTGAAATCCATATCAAATTTTAAATTTTATTTTCTAAAAAGGTTAAATTTTTTAATAAGTTCTAGTAAGGAATACTCATATATATGTAAAAATAATGTATATTCCTGAAAATAACTCTATATGATAATAATATTCAAATAAATGACGTTTACTACATTTATTACATTTTATACAGGTATATGACGTTTTCGACGTTTACACCTTTTTAACAGTCGAAAACCTTAAAATTCGTCTTACGGACCATCCCTGGTTGCAAACACAGCAGGTAGCAGAAGCCTACTCCTCTTAACTTACCCACTTGCCTGACGAAAGCACAAAGAATTTCCCACAAGCATCAAGAAACTCATGGTACTATCAGGAGTGTCGTTATGCTACTAATGAGAAAAACGCGAAATACGATGGAGAATTGTCGGGAGAAAAGGAGAGAGTAGAAACATATTTTCAAGAAAGAACAAGGAAAACGTTAGCGGAAGCAAATTGAGATGTACAGGAGTCAGAACGAAGTCCAGAAATTTCACCAAAAAGTAAAACACCAAACCGAAAGCACATCCTCCTGTAGAGATGAAGAAGGAAACCTTGATGCTTGTGGGATACAGACAGGATCTAGAAGTAGCATTTTTAAAAATTCTGGTATGAAGTAGAAGTGGTGACGTGTATACCTCAGAACCAATAATAGATGGCGGTATAGAGTGTAAGATAAGGTCAGAACAGCAATCAATCGGCTGAAGAATAATAAAGCATCAGGTGCCGATGGGTTACAAGCCGAACTATTCAAGGCTGGTGGTAATTGATTGCACCAGCTGAGCCTGGGTCCCGTACAAAAAAAGGGAT